CAAGGTGGTCCCGCATGCGAGCCATCTTGGAGCCCTCTTGAAATCACCCGCGGTCGGCGCCCCGTCCATTGGCCGGCGCGGGCGAACGAGCTGTTGCTCCGAGCAGACGAGGGACGTTGCCGGACAGGCCCCCCCTTTCCGGGGGCCGGTCAGAAGTGGAAGCGCGTTCATCTTTTCACTGGCGATGCGCGCGCTCATCTTCGCTGCCACCTCGCCCCCTGCCTGGCGGGGGGGAAGGGGGGGGCTTGGTTTTGATGTTCCAAGCGAGAACAAGCCGTTTCGTCTGCGCGCGCATAGCAGACGCACCCAGGCTCACCTGCGCTGCGAGGTTGAGTGCGTCGCAAGGCGGTGGCGCGCACGCCGCGCCTTCGGCGCGCCAGCTGCGGCGTCGCAAAGGATGTCAACCGTCGTGGGTCGCGCAGCGCGCGGTGCGGCGCGCCCTTGACTGCGCCCCTGCACGCGCGCGCTTGCACGGCGAATTGCGGCTGCTGCGCGCCGGCGCGGCTGGCCGGGCGCGCGTGCCAGGGCGGCCCTGCTGGGCGGCCCTGCCGGCTGCGACATGCCTATGGCGCCGATGATGACGAACGCTTGGGCGCCCCCCTCGCCGCTGTGCGCGGGCGCGGGAGGCGCGTCGGCTGTGCTGACGTACCCCTGCCCAAGTTGTGGTCGCAGCGTACTGAGTGAAGCTGTGGAAGGCGCAGCGCGCTGCAGCTGTGTTCTGCTGGCGCTCCATCCCGGGCATGCCGTCGCAGTAGATGCGGCCCGGGTCGCATCTGGCCACGCGGGCCACAGATGGGCGTTCTTGCGGCTGCTGGCCAGGGCGCGCCCTCAGCCGCTGCGCGCGTCATTGGGCGCGTTGGGCCCCGCAGGGATCGCCATATGTGGAAAGGGGTCGTTGTTCAGCTGTCAGCGCGCTGCACTTGGCCGGGGGTCAAGGCAGCGGCGTTTTGCGGCACATGTCGGACTGGGCGCCAACAGAGGGAGGTTGCGGCTGCCGGGGGGCGCGGGTTGCAGCGTAGCATGCGCCCCGCCGGCAGCCGCTTCCGCGGGGGGCATCGGGGCGGGGGAAATCGCCGGGGAGCGCGAACAAGGGAAGGCCGAGCAATGGCGGACAGGAGCGGATCTGCGGACCGCGCGGCGTCACTTCACTGCCTCGCTCTTCCTTCGCGTTTTGGTTGTCTTCTCCGCCTTTCCTCGCCCCCCTCATCCTCTTGCCCGCCCAGTTGCTGCCAGCGCTCCGCGGTGCGCGACGTGGCGGAAACGGAGACGGATTGAGCAGTGATCCCGTGAGCGGGCATCCGCGCTGCGCGCGGCGCGCAGCGGCGAGCGCGGAAGCGCCGGCGTGCGCGCGCATGCTGCCCAGACAGAGCCTCGCGCAAACGCGCGCGCTAGCCCTGTCGCAGCGCGCCGCGGCTCGGCGCGCGCCCCCCCGCCCCCCCCCGCGCGCCTGCCCGCTGGCCCGGGGGTGGCAGGGGCGCCGCGTTCCCAGGGCCGAATTCCGGGGCGAAAACATCAATCTGCGGCGGCCGACGAGAAGGCCGCGCAGGGGCGCGCGCCAAACATGAGAACGCGGGGGCGACGACCCACAGGGGCGCGCCCCCAGGCGAGCCGAGGAGTCGCCCGGCACCCCGCCAAGCGATGCTGCATGGCGACGCAGAACTTTGGCGCGTTCGAATTCACAATCGGAAAAACACGCGGGCACACCAAAAACGGCTCGAGGCCGCTTTTAGCGTGCACCCCAGAAACTCAATGGACAACGCAGAAAATGAGTGCGCCAAAAAACTTCGGACCAGAATTCCTCGAACATTCCTCGGACGCTTTCGCCAAGCTGCTTCCCTCTTAACGGCCCCTTGGGCTGATTCCCAACCGTGCGTTTGGCCTTGGCTCAACGGCTCGCCGAGGCGCGCCGGCGCCCGCCACCCTCGAGGAAAACGACGTATGATGTCTGGGCAGAAATGCATCACTGCACTGATTCACGCCCCCGAAACGAGGGCAACAAAAAGAAGGCCCAGCAGAAAGCGACGCGCGTTGGCGACGATGACAAAGAGGACGCGGGAAGCTGAGAACAACAGGTAGACCAGCATGGAGATGAACAGCTAGATCGAATACGAAGTTGCCAGACCAGTCAGCAAACGTACACCGTATCAACCCAGACAGAGGATATACGCGACAACTAACTCCAGGTGGTACTCAACAAGACTGAACGCGCACGCCGTGAGACATCTCGGCGAAGATCAGAATCCGATCCTTTGGTGGCGGACCAACGCGTAAAATCCAAAGGGCGAGCATGTCGCGCCCGGCTCTGCCTGGACTTGGCGGCCCAACAAGTGGCGGCGCGGCCCGTCGGAAAGGGCGCGGAAAGCTCTGTGGAGCTCGACCCCTTGGATCGCCAGGCGCCGACTCAACTACAAGTGCAGACCGCCAGCGGCGCGGGCCGACGGGGCGCGCCCCTGGCGATGGGGGCGCTAAGCCGTTGAGCCGGCCGGCAAGACCTCACTGG